CCTCTTTTTCGCCGTATCTCTCTTTCGTTATATTATATTTTTAAATCATTTTTTTAATTATTTGTGATATATTTGTACTCTAAAAAGTAAGTGATATCCGAAAAAAATTATATCATAAAAATAAAAAGGTCAAGCCATGTTCAAAAAAAAGTACTCAAAAATTTAAACCTTTTTAATAATAATATATTACCATGAAAAGTAACTGATATATTATTAATTAAAGGTGCCAGTACAAAGTGAGCATATATAAAGTAACTAAAAATGGACCGAAAGTATGTAACTTTCGGTCCATTTTCTAATCGCCTCCGCCTTCCGCTGTCCCCCTCACATCACCTCACCGCGCGTGGTCCAAATGCCGCACGACGCTCGAGCATGGTGAAGGGGAGGGGCGGGGGAGGAGGTCCCGGTGGTCCGAAAATGGTGAAGGTGCGAGTGAAAGATGAAAGAGCATGTTAAAAAGTTGTAATAACGAAAGAGAGTAAAAATTACGGCAAAAGAGAGGGGTAGTGGAGGGGGAGGGGCGGGGAGGAGATCCGGTGAGTCGAAGATGGTGAAGGTGCGAGTGAAAGATGAGAGAGGATGTTAAAAAGTTGTAATAACGAAAGGGAGTAAAAATTACGGCAAAAGAGAGAGGTGGTGGGTGGGCGGGGGGAGGAAGTCCGATGGGTCGGACATGGTGGAGGTGCGAATGAAAGGTGAGAGAGGATGTCAAAAAGTTTTAATATGGCCTTGAATGCGGACAGAGAAGAAAGAGAAGAAGAAGGAGAAGGATACATATATTCATTAAAATTTTAATGTTATTGATTTCTAGTATTGTAATAAATATCGTTTGAAAGATATTCAAATATACGTATTGTGTGGGGAGAAAGTATTTAGTTAAAAATATTTTTAAAAAATTACCTAGGTATAGATACCGATGCAGCATGAAAATATCTGAACAATTTAGATATCGTTTAAGTACTTTTAACAATAAAAGAAAAAACAGAAAGAGGAAAATAAAAAAGCTTTATAAATAAGTTTTATTTCATATGAAATTACTACTTATATATATATAGTACATATAAAAATGTTTAGGTAATAAAATTATAATTGCATATACGTCACCGGCGATTGACTACCGTGTATTTTATAAAAAATGACATATTCTTGTGTTTTCATTTAAATCTTTAAAGCAGTTTGCTTGATCTTTATTCGAAATGTAAATTTGAAAGTCCTTTGATAAAAAAAATACGAATATAAAAATTTAGTTTCAGCTTAATTTCCAACTTGTAGTGGTAAAAATGTATCGTAGAAATTATAAAATATTATAATACTATTTACTGATATGATAAATTACGATTTTTCTCTGCATTCGTAATAAGCTTTTTAGTTCGAGCTTTGATGCTTGTGATCAATCAAAGGAAACCACATCACATGACCAGTTTACTATTTTTTTCTTATGAGATCTTTTAGTCGCCATTCATTAAATATTAATAACTAAGGATGCAGTATAGTACATATTAACGGATTGTAGTAGTACATAAAACTGTTGCAAAATGAAAAATATAAATATTACTTTATAGTACGAGAACAAATTAAAGTTTTCGTTGCTTCATTAATTTTTTTACATTTATTTAACATTCTTTAAACACACACAATATATTTACGTCAATTTGTGTGTATTACGTGGTAAAGCATATAAAAGTATTTACACTAAATGTAGACTGAAAATATATACAATCCGTTTACAGAAAGAAGTTTAGAATACATATATATTAATCTTTATCTGTAAGATACATATAATCTGGGTCTTTGCCGTTAGAGAAAGACAATAATTTATATAACAATTACTATTATAATGACATAATAAAATGTATAAATAAATACCTTTGCACCTACATGTATAATTTAAATGGTACCGTATAAAATTTACTCAGGTACACACACAAGTATATCTACTATAGATAATGCTCTATATTGGATATAGTTATTTAAAGACTGGATACTTTTACATATACAATTTATCTATACTTTTACGTATACAATTATCTAATAAATACGTTCGAACACACACTGTTGATTTCTTTCTATTACGCTACACAAGAAGCAACGATGATATGAGTGAATAATGTCTACACTAAATTGTCTAAATATCTCAATGTCTAAATACATATTTTATATGACAACAGCTATTTTTCAACATCAACTGTAGCGTTGCGAGTAAATCAACGCGATTAAGTATCTACCCGTTACACATATTTAGTAAGTACATACATGTTTTATTTTTTTTTATTTTATTATTTTATTATTTTTTTATCTTATTATTATTTTATCTTATTATTTTTTCAATCTTGACACAGTTATTTAATACCTACATTCAAGAACATCGATTTCAGTACGTAATCAGCCCCAAATCGCGATAATATCTGACATATATCGCTATCGGTTTGGTCTATTTTATAATATCTTTAACACCTATTTTATAACATATACAGAAAAATTTTTTATTTAATGAATTATAGTATATATATTTATTGCGCGGTGTATTTTCAATGGAACAAAAAGATTTGAAAAGAAATTTAATAAATTACATCTAACATGCACGTCTCTCTCTCTCTCTCTCTCTCTCTCTCTCTCTCTCTCTCTCTCTTTGACAGCCATCAAACTCTTTGCAACATCATCCCTAGTTCAAGAAAATTTCGCCGTCAAATAACTTTCAAGATGAATGTTTAGCAACGAATCAATCATTTTATGATGTACGCAATAAATGTATATGCTATAAATTATTTTTGTATAATTACGCTGTTTGAAAACATCGAGATTAAAAGAGATTTTAAACATTCGAAGCATAAAAATCGCCTTATAAAAGACCCACGTCGAGTATTCTCGATGTTGAGGCTGCGCTACTGATTGTGAGCCACATTATCGAGCGTTTTCCTGCGCATCGCAGTGGCGCAGGAAGAAGCACCGAAGACCGAACACCGAAGTAGTCGAGGAAAGATGGCGATCCCAGCCAGAAATGCTAATAGAATTGACGTTGATTCAACATCGAAATTATTAAATTGACGTCGATTCGATTATCATTTCTGGCTGGGATGAGCATTGTACCTACACGAGCACGAGCGTGCACAGTTATTCGCAATAAAAAAAGTTAGTCAAAGTAACTTGAAGTAATCGAATGTGTCACGCCCGCTTCCTAACAACCCAGCATTCGGACTATACCTCACATCGATTGTAATTATCACATTTTTTTTATTTGTATTTATTAATTAAATTATCTCAAATGCATCATATCGTAAATATTTATACAAATAATATATAAATAAAATATGAATATTTATATTTTGCCGTTTTAATGGTCAAAACCGCCGGAAAAATCGAAGATTGCTAAGATTTGAATATTATTTAAACTTTATTTCTAATTGATGCATTTAAGATAAATTAATTCGAAGATTTACAGTCTGATCATTTGATACTTATTGATCGTCGTTTTTGTGCACTAGGACATCCTCGAAGTCCCTGAGCTTTTGCGGCTGACGGCGGATGGCGTTAGGATTTCTGGGAAGTGTGGCGATAGGATTAGTATTATAATTTATGTAGGGTTGCTCGTGATGATTGATACCATTTGCCGATTCCGAATTGTGTCGTCGCTTCACCGAGGTTTCCGCATTCGATTGCTTCGGTGACAAGTCCTCAAAACATGGCACTGTCTGCAATGACATCGTGTTTCGGCAATCGTTGAAAAGAGATCTGGGATTGAGAGTAACTTCGCAAGCGGATCCGAAGTGCTTGGAACCGGCGCAAATCGGCGAATTGTTCTTAAAACTGGGACCAGCGAGAAGACATGATTCGGTAATTCGTTTCTCAATGCTGATCTTGGTTGCGTTTTGTCTGTTCAATAAATTTTGCGCCGCTTCCGATAGTGGCTCTAGAGAAATCGGCGGCCACTTGAGATCGCATGCCAAGTCTCGCTCCATGGCTAGAAATTTCCGTCGAGATTTATCTAAGTCATGCCAGATATAACGAAATTTTTTAAATATGAGATAGTCCACAAAGAAATTCTCGAGCAGTACCGAAATCACAAAATTTAATATGCCATAGCCGATCAGGGTGAAGCGAAAACCTAAATCGTCAGGCAGCACGAGTTCAAACCAATTAATCATCCAATTAGAGGGACATATTGCAATATATATAGAAACTAAAGTGAGTGACACAAATGAAGTAAGTAAACCATAATTGGAAAACAGAGATTTTCTATATGGCGGTCCTTTGGAGAACGCTACCGCCAAGATGATGTATTGCATTGCGCTCATAACAAAGACCGTGTAATTCTCTAAACAACCTACGTCATCCGTATCCTCGAGCGCGGTAGCGTTAAATGGTACGAACCATGACATCTGCCGCAAATGCCAAAGGCTCATGTATTGGAAGATCGCGACGATCAGAAGTTGGGTGGTCAGACTGAGTATTGGTGACATGCTGACGAGACTGTTAAGCGGTGCTGTTTTTACTAGTGGACCTTCATAGGCCTTAGTGCGGCCGAAAAAGAATGCGAATATGGAGATGATGAAGAGATCAATGTATAAAAACTGAATGTCCGTCAAGTTGGAGTCGATGCTGTAGAGGAGCATCACCGAAATAAATTGCGTGAGTGAATAGGCAGCCATATACTTAAAAATACCAAAGGAAGTCACTAGTGCAGCCCGACCCTCTCGTATCACCGTCAAGACGCAGGAGATGTCAGTTTCGCGACTCGTGAAAGGCGATGCAACGGAAGATTCCGTGTCCGACAAGGATATTCCGGTGTGTGCTGCTTTCAATGCACCGCAATCGTTAGCACCATCTCCCACCATAGCTGCGGAAAAAAAATTTCATGTCGAATTAAGATTCGTAAGTTTGCCTTTTTACTCCGTAGCATTTGTCATTCCATTAACCTTCCAGATCTGACACAGATATATTAAACACTCAATTATATTTTCTATGTTACATCTACAAAGGCTGTAGCCGAATAAGGAAGACTAAAGTGCCACCGACTCCAAAAAATTCAAAACTTTTTAAATGAAAAGGACTAGGATATCGAGAAACTAATTTAGGCGCATTATTAATTTTTAATATTCCTTATTCGGCTACGACCCCCCCCCCTTGAATTATTATCAAAAATTTTAATACTAAATGAGACATTTGATAAGTTTTTATTCTTAGACTTTGAAATATTACGATGTTGCTGATTCGACATCACTTTGTAATTAAATGGATCTTACAGACCCAGCGTGTAATTTTATGTTACAGGTTTTAAAGTCAGCTTCGAAAAATTTATATTGTTCATTACAATATAAATTTTTTTTATGTTTACACTTACCAACGTAATATCCTAAGGACTGCAGTTCTTGAACCAACTGCTGCTTCTGATCTGGCGACATTCTTGCAAAAATGGCACCGCGAGTCACCACTTTAGGTATCAGTTCTGGATAATACTGTTTTATTAATGCCCACGTTTCTCCTGTCAACGCGAACGTGTACACGTTCTTGGAATATTGCACACTGCAATTTAGATAGATCGTAAGATTTACATTATCCAATAATTCTGATACATTTTGTTACAGGCTTAAAAACACAGATACTTACTCTTCCTGTAAAAAATGGGTATCCTTCTCCAACTTTGGACTACCGAAGGAACCGCTCTCGACAGAATTCAGACTAACTACGCTGTTCAGATCGGACATTTCGCTGAGATCCCGCTGATCATTTGGCGAAGTGGATGATGATGGACTGTTGGTCTTCGTGAAGTGAATCTGTGGCATCATCTGATTTTGCTGATTCATCGTGATGGCAATAACAGGCGTATCTGGCTTTACAATGCCGCAGTCCCTACCAACTGAGAGTGCGGTCAACATATTGTCGCCTGTTACCATTACTATCTTGATGCACGCAGTGTTCAGTTCAGTGATGACCGGTGAAGTTTCAGCCTTTAGTCGGTTTTCCATGATTATAAATGCTAAGAATGTCAAGTTATTCTCAACAGCTTCACGACTTAAGCGTTGTACCTTTATGTACGAAAGACGATATAAAGGCTTATGTGCGAGGGCGATCACTCGATATCCTTTGGAAGTATATACTTGTAGGACAGCCGAGAAATCTGGAGGAACTACACACAGAACAGATAGATGTCATTTGTATCAATATAATCGTAAATGTAAGATTATATGATTAAAAAAAAACACAATAAAGACAAAAAAAAAAGAAAAAAGTCAAAAGCCTGAAATTAACGTGTCTCTTTTTATACCAAAACAAATTAAAATACGTAATTTAATTTTTTCCGTGATCACAAAGATTACAAAAAAAGGTTTCCGCAGATAAATAGTAGGACCACTAACTTATAAATTTGAAAACAAGCGTGAAAAAGAAAAAGAAAAACGATATTTTCGTATCCCTTTTATTATCAATATATCGGAGAAAATAAAAAACTTTTTTAAAAACGACCCGTCATCGGTAAGAACAGCATACACAGGAATTAATAAACAATAAATTTATCAAGGTACGTAAATATAAACTTCCTGTCATATCGTACTCGAACGTGGTTTATAAAATTGATTGCAAGAATTGCGATGAAGTACGTAAGTCAAACTAGCAGTCTTAATCTTAGTCTTCAATGAATGGCGCACGGCCAGAACTATGTCGAAACGGCCAGTAACAAAAATGCCGCACTAGGCGACGAGTAACGTAAAGTCTTAAAGAATAACGCAATAACCCGCGAAAATGGCGAGAACCATCGGGCGCCCGAGTCCACGACGTCATTACGCCGCTAATGCGCGCGTCAGGACGAACGAACGGGACATCCAAAATCGCGGGATCGCTAGGCGGATTTTGAGTAATCGCAAGGCACAGTCAAAGTAGGCAACACTTTTCAAAAAAATATAACGGAAACAAGCACCCGACAAAGACGCGTCCGTCCAAGACGAATATTGCGTTATTCTTTAAGACTTTGCGTTACTCGCCGCTTAGTGCGGCATTTTTGTTACTGGCCTAGTTCTGATCATGTGACATTCATTGAAGACTAACAAGACTGAGATACATTACAAGCAAGGTGTTAACATCGCATGATATGTCAACGTTCTAACGTCCATGTAATTTTTAATTAATTACTTTCTACCTTATTCCTATCTTTTATATATATATATATATAAAAGATATAATTTAATTCTCTATAGATATAATTTATTTAATTCTCTACAATTATAATTCACTACAATTGTTGCATATATTTTAGTCACTAATCAATGTATGAAGAGGATCCAAAACCAAGAATCGAAAAGTATTTTTAATTTTAATTTAATTGTTTTATACAATAAGGATTTTGCAATCATATCCAGCATTGGCTTTAAAAAAGCTTATTTGTATACGTAATTGATTAATTTATTAAGGCCTAGCTACATCTATCGTAATGTTTATCGTAAGCTTCTTACTATCCTTGCGACAGCCATTTAGAAGCGTTATAATACACATTGACGTTTCTAATTGGCTATCGTAAGAATTGTAAGGAGCTTACGATAGATGTAGCTGGAGCTTTAGGGCCTACTGAAATTCTATTTGATTTAAGATTGAGTTCACAAGAAATGCTTGACACAAATTTATTGCATAGCCCACTTGTCTTAGGTAAAAGATCTCTTCACGCTTTGGTTATCTGACAAATATCTCTTATTTTCTTCTTTATAATTTCACACCATCAATTCCTTGTATATAATACACATATAAATACATTTATAAAGACTTACTGGATTCTACTCTTGAGAGACTGATGATCATTTCCGGACTACCTTTGCAGTAAAGATCATAATGTTGAGCTCCCAATGTCCTGGTAATTACGCTCATCCTTTGAAGACTCGATGTAAAGGGAAATTGCCGAATGATGCCCACTTCCAGTCCTTGCTCGTTCAGGTCCATTGCAGGATCGTTGAACACATCGTCGGAGAGATTGTTGAGAGATATACCATCTATCACATCGGAAGACAAGGAGTTTCGTCGACTGAACCTATCGTTCAAATCGTTAGGCAGTCTTCTAGGAAGCGCAGAATTGTCTGTTGGTTTGACGATCGTCGGGATAAGCATAGAAAATTTAGATGTATCGGATACATTGGGTTCCTCCATCGTCCATCCAGTGGAATCAAACATTTTTAGATCGAGCGGGTCACCTTTCAATTGGTTATCGATTATGGTGAGTCCGTGACACGTAGCCATACCAATAAGGACTTCGGATAACGGTAGACTAGTAATGTCCTTGACGGGCAACTGGAACCTGCCATCCGATACACTCACCACGCCCCATATATCCAAACCGTCTTCGGTTAATGTTCCAGTCTTATCGAAGCAAATGCAATCGATGGATCCCGACACGTTAATCGCTCTCGGGCTCGTGCAGTATATTTTTTTCTTTTCCAATCTACGTTGCGCTACAAGACGTCCAACCGTCATGGCAGCTGGCAATGCCGGCGGTACAACAATAGTGATGAGATCTAGCGCTTCCAGAATAACTTCGTCAATGCTAATGCCTCTCGTTATTTTGCTCACGATGGTATAAAGAACGCCGATGCTGGCTATGCACGCTAATAATGTGACGAATTTATACGAGTCTTGCTCAAACTTGAAATCCACAGGCGGGGGATACATAATGGATCGTACAAGATCACCTTTGCTGGTATTGAAACCCGTTCTGATGACCATCGCTCGTACCTAATGTTGCAACACAATCATTTCCATTCATAAAATGTTAAAATACCAATGTGTAAATATGAAATTTGAAAGTCAATTTAGTTTACCTCCTCATTGCCGTAATATCTCGCTTGGATAATTTTAGTACCGCAGAAAAGCGTATGCCTAGCATGTTCTTTCGTTTCGTATATCATATCGTTAGAAGGAAGTGGTGTCTTTGTAACAGGTATTGATTCCCCTGTCAACATAGACTCGTTCAGAATGCAATTGCCAGTCAGTAGCACGGCATCGCACGGCATTAAGCATCCGTGATATGGTATTATTAAGATGTCACCGGGTACTAAATGTTCGGCTGGTACTGTCGCGGTTTCACCAGCCGTACGATCACGTAATACAGTGGCGACGTCAGATGAATGTACCGTCGACCGCAATTTTTGCTGATTCTAAGAAGGACAAAATTCAATCAGATTGATCATGACACGAGATATATAGAAATTAAAAGAATGAAAAAGTGACTCACTCGTCGTGTTTGAAAGACTGCTATCATAATACTGGCACTTGCCAGAGTAAGAATGACTACGGCATAATAATAATAGTCATCCGCGAGCCACAGACAAAAACTAAATAGTTGAAAAATATAAAATGGATTCAACACTTCGAGGCATAATAGTGTTACTATGCTCTTCACGGGAACCACGATCTCGTTATTGCCATAAACATTACGCCTGTTAACATAAATAGTCCAATTAATTATTTTAAACGATATTAGATTGTCTCATGATTGATGAATTATGAATTTTCTATGAATATAGATTAATTTTAATCAACCTACTCTTCATGTTTTTCTAATTCGAAGAATTAGAAAAATGTTAGTAATGTTCTAGAGTAAGATGAAGAGTAAGTTGATTAAAACCAATCTATATTCATGAGGTACCGAGATTAAAGTTTGTCTATATTAATAGGAATAAGAGATCGAATAAGAGACATCAAATTAGTTTGGCTTTTACCTCATGTATTGTTCCTGAGAATTGAGACCTTGTGCTTGATGTAATGTGGATGTTAGAACGTCGGTGTCGAGGCCACGCAGTTTCAAGAATTCCGATCTCTCCGGGTCCCAGACATAAATAAGTTTCTTACATTTAAAAATTTTGACAGAAGGCCACTCTAAAAAAAAATATTTTCTTGTTTAAAACTCCCTTATTTATGAAATGTATAGACAACAATGCAAAAAAGTATACTGATATTTTACTTACGTTTAAAGCGGCCTCCTGAGAAATGTATAGGTAATTTAGGAAAAGTTTGATCCCTGTTTTCATTATTGATTATAATTTCATTGCATTCTTCTAAAGATCTATCACTGTAAAATAAAATAATAATTCAAATAAGTAAAGAATTAATTGAAGCTTGATGCCTAATATTTCTCTCTGTCTATGTAAATTTTAAATACATCTTCTGGTTATGTAAAAATAATAATTGTTAACATTAATTTTATTATCGATTTTTACAAGATACATTAAAACATTACTAACATGACGTTTTTAGCAGTCAAAGTTTTTATTCTCTTCACGTAATAACTTTTATGTGCTCCATGAAACTTTTCGACCAACAATACGGCTTCTGCCTCTTCCAAAGAGCATTTGGTGTGGGTGGCTTTGAGCATGAGATGTGGCATCCAATGAAATATCAGTCTCAGCAAACCTCCGGTAACGACAATCAGGAACCAAGTAATAACGGCCCGTATGCGGTTTCGTCTATAACTGTAACGATAATAAGCGGAAATTAAGCTGCGAGGTTCAAGGAGAATTCAATTATGATTACATGACGTAATGCAAATGACCTACCCGTAAATTTCCATCTGGTCCTCTTCATCGAGATTGATATAATCCACGCCATTCTTCAAACCTGTACGATTTGCTCTGGTATCTGAAACGACGCCAATACTGTTACAACGAGTAGGCACTCGTACATTGAACATCCTGATGGTGAACGTACGTTCGCCAATAGCGAACTTTGTTATGACCGACGCTTTCTCCGTGACGTTTTGTAAGATTCTACTTGTTGTTAATGATACAGTGATATACGCGTGTAGGATGCGGCGCGTTTCTGACGGCAATGATGCCACTGGTGGCCTTTATAACTCCGATCGCGTCAAATCACGAGGGGAATGAGAGAGAATGAAAATTGTTATCGAGGATAATCGTGGTAAAGTAGCGAGGTAGAATGGGACAAGCGCGTTTATTTAATGTCGAGCGGTATCAATGACCACGAAATGAATTTGTCGGTAAACGAAAAATAAATATTCGGGGGTAACGATAGATATATTTTTTCCTTCCTCCTTACCCTCCAACAATTCCGTCTTTTGCTCACGTTGATGCTCGTTTGCAGTAGTCGCATTGCGACTACCAAAAACACTATAAGCGTTTCTGGTAAAGCTCAGATTTAGCTTACTCGGCGTAGGCGGCATGCTCGCGACTGAAAAAATGCAGCTCAACCAAAACGTGATAAGGAAAACGTGACTAAAATTCTCGAATCAGAGTTCTCTCTTTAACTCTCTTTAAACTCTCACATTCCATGCGGTATCTGTTTTCTTATATATTTTTTTCTCCTTTTTTCAACTTAATAGAGAAATATCGTCTCTATTCTATTTTTCTTCTGAGAATTTTTAGAGAATGTTTTCGTTTGACTTCTTTTGACTTGCCTCCTGTGATACTTGTTGTCTTCACTACTACGTATTATAATTTAACACTAGCCTTAGTACCTAACAAATTATTGTCCGTATTTGGGCGCTTCGTGAGGCCACTCCGGATTGCTCGATATGAGACAGAGTTATTTTGCTATGATTATAAATTTAGCTGGGACGTTGAAATGCGAAGACAAATGAAAAGAGGGAGAGGATGCCGAAGACTATCGGTGAGCTGTTAGGTACGACGTGGGTTTAAACAATTGCGTTCTTCGGGACATTAACCCCGTCTGCTACCGACACCGATTGCCCGCCATTTCGGGGTCCCTCTTCAAGGTCCTCGTAGCAGGTCTTGATGATGTATTATCCGGCATCTGGTTGGCATCGAGCTGGCACGGAAGACGCGACAATGATGATGACGACGACGTTGTCCCGCGGACTTTGAAAGCCGTTTCGCGAAAGTTGTGCCAGAACCATGAACCAATAGTGATCGTCAAAAGGGTGGCAGGAGAACAGGGATGCTGATGAGCGAATGGCAGTAGTTGGTGCTATCGCTTTGGACCTGCCCTCAGCTTCCTGGATTCGTGTCAGTCGCCAGGATCGGTGAGCTTTCGCCAGCCGATTCGTGGCGTGATCGCCGCTCGTTCACCCTCGCTCATGCCGCGTTTCAAGTATACCAGGTCCGAAGTGCTCCTGCCTACCACGGAGCCGCCACGTAGCGGCCGCGGTTGCGGTTGCGGTGCTAGATCGCGATAACGACTCGCTGCTTTCCTCTGAGTTCCTCCACCTTTAGCCCTCGAAGATGACGATCCGTGATCTCGACGACCGCACGCGGCCGCTACACCAGCTCCTGCCGCCTCTCTAATGTGCTCGTGCCTCCCTTGTGCTGCTCGTTGGCGCGATCGCAAATACATTACGGGTTATAGAGGTATCCGGGGTTGCCGTCGGGATGTCTCGATCGGCAGAGAAATTGACAGCTCACAAGATTTTTTACACGCGCACTACTGGGATTTTTCCCTGGAGAAATACGGCAATCTCGGTTCTTTTTAAAGTAGAGATATCAGACGCACTCACACGATATGAGTACGCTTAACGAGCAAACAAGTTCATCCAATCAAACCAATCAATACGAGGAAGAAGTTACGCAATATTAACGCATTCCAAGATTGCCCGAAAAATCACCGATTTAAAAATAAATCACTCACTAATATGTCAACGTCTCAATTCGCGATAATAGAAAATATATGTAACAAATGGAGAGATAAGAAGAGAAAAATTTCTCTATACACCGAACACCAACAGATTTTGCACTTTTCGCGAATACAATCGTCCTCGCGAGGAAACGACAAAATTTTTCCTTTCGTTGCGCTATTTTTTCAAATGATTCGCTTAAACTCTTGACTCTTTTCAGGACTTCTAAGTACAGAGAACACAATACGATAGTTTATGTCTAGCATTTTACTCATAGTGCTGGTATACGTTATCGCGCAACAGCTGGTCCCGGTTCTTATCAGCCGTAAATTAGGAAACGGAAAAGAAAACGATACTCTCCTACGAGAAGTCACTTTGCACGTGGGTGTTTCCTCGATGCGGCGCTCATTCGTGGGGTTGCCGCCAGCGGGATGCTGTGCCTCGCAGATGAATCGATCTGCGTCACCGACTCCAAAATGACTCCTTACAGCGAGCTGCTTGCAAGTGCAAGACAATTTGTGAAAATGTGCTCGTGATAAAATGGCGACGCGGCGATGTCGTTTCGGAGTTCAGCTTCGAAATTGCTGACTCTTGCCAGACTAGCTGTCTGGCTAGTTAGCTCGTTTGGCTGCGCAGCAATTCCTCGTGAATGCTGACCGATGTTGCTCGCTGATGATCGAAACTAACGACGAAACTTCACCAGAAGGAAACTCTCTTCATTGTGGAATATCGAAGAACGTACGGTTGAATGGTGCAACGTATTAGAACCGGGGATTTATCTGCTCCGGATTGCGACTAGTCTCTGAGTGCGAGCGAATCGAATAAATCGCCTGGTACGGAGACCGATAGAGAGAAAGACTTGCGCTCTGAGTCGGCAAACTCGGCTACAGGAACGTATCTACAAAAGGTATTTTATCGAGCGACCGAGCCCCGAATTAAACGAGGTTCGATGCTCCGGCAAGGATAATTAAATATCTACTGGCTACGCCTTCAGTTCGCATATGATGAGAAATAGGATCAATCATGATTTACGAAGACAAACATTAGATAAGTCTTATCTAGCACTTCGTTACCGTAAAACCGACTGCGCAGAAATATTACGATTGAAAATATCACTCGGATTATCATACGAAATAACGTTTTATACGCCGTTTTTAGTGCTCAACTGTAATACAGTTATAGTGTTTAACAAGTATCGATCACAATTCATTTTAAAGGCCTTCAATTTCATTACAATTTTTATCATTGGAAATATCCTTTCGTGATCTTTTAAAATTATATCGTTTTAAATGTTTTTACAAAATGGAGCATATATAATATTTTCAATTTTCTTTTTTCGATATAAAAAGTGTACCTTTGAAAAATAAATTGAATCTAGACTAAAACATTTTACTTGTCATTTGTAAATAAGTTCTTAAATAAAATAATAATTAAGAGGTATAATTAAAAATCAGTAAATTATTTCGTAAGGATTGTTTTTAATCTTTTGAATCGTGATATTTATTTTGTCTAGAGAAAATACTTCGAAAGTCTTTCTCAAGTAAAACACGTATTACATTTCCTGTGGCTCCTTCTTATTTAACCGCACCTGGAGTTCCCCCACCATCAGCTGCTTAACTTATAACGATGACGAACGTCGACATCATCGTCCATGCCGACCATGACTCATTTTTTCTTCAGAGCCGGCGCGCGCGAGTAAGTTCCTCGTCATCGCTCCCGCTAATTACGGTTCTGATTTAAATCATTAGCTTTCCCTTCTGTCATTATTTGACTTCCGGTTGCAGGCATGCATTCTTTTCGCATCCATGTATTGGCTCCAAGATTCTATTGACTGATCGTACCAGCTGTATTCTTTCAATCAACTTGTAGCGTTTCCCACTGGCAGAACTGTTTCTGTTTGCTATTTCCCTCTTGTTCCCCCGCGTCCCATGAGGTCTCATAGTTGGAATATCGAACGATTCTTGTGGTCTATATCTCGTTTCAACTAACTCGACACTGTGTTGACACATATTCCCAATTACGAGCATTAAAAACCTTTATTTTTTGACAAGCTATATTTTATAACATTTCAGAATAACTTCCGTTCGAAAACGTTTAACAATGCAAATATCAATAAAATTTTTAATACGTGTTTGTATTTACAATACAATAATAGATTTCTATCTTGCGTTATATAACTATTAATGTGAATTCATAATACTTTTATTTTCTCTCTCTAAATTTCCATTATTTATTTTTATTTTAACATTTGCAAACATTTTCATGTTAACAAAATAAGATACAAAAAATTAAATTATAGGACTCTTCTATTATTCAATAAAACCGAAATTTATTAAAGAGTGATTTGAAAATGGTGTGGAAGAGTAAAATAATTTTCATATCAAATTTTTATTAGTTATATACATTTTTATTGATTAATACTGACGATCGCTAATGCTGCAAATAAAGAATTTTAAAACATTTCTCAACATGCAGAATAAACGTTTAGCAGGTGGATGGCTTTTTGTAGTAGACAGATAAGAACATTCGCGTATATTCGCATTAACTTACACGTTGCGAAATTATCGCGATAAATGCTAGCTTTGTAGTTTAGTGCTTATATACACTTAAAACCGCTCGTGTTCGTTAATAACTCGCACGACTCTTTAACGTAGCATTTGATGTTCTCGATAAATTCGCGATTAATTGATGATTAAATATGTGAGAAAAATACGTGGATTTTATCGCGGAGCAAAGTAATTCATAAAGCAAGAGAACAGAGAGTTAACACTTTCGCAGAAAGAAATTTCTCCGAACGGATCAACTTCTAGATGAAGATAACGATTGGCGCGTTTCTTTAATTGAAGTGTTAAACAGAATTAAAGGCTCGTTAATGTCGAAACGCTGAGCGAGACATCGTTAGTAATTGAGCAATATTACTTTTGTCTTAGCTCTAAGCGGTCATGACTTTAAACGGTACAGAGGTCGAGGACAATATTGCTAGCTGAATTTGTTGTTCATTTTAGCTCGATTCAATTTGCGTATTTCTGATACAATTAAATATACAATTAAATATGAGCGACGGTTATTTCAATGCTTGCTTTATGAGAAAAATTTTCTGTCGCTAACAATAATGTCGCTAACATCAACAGGTTTCAATTAGAGAGGATATTACGTGCAGATACAATCTTACGGCGCGTTTAAATTACTCTTGAATAAGCCACAAGCTTTTCTACCCATTTATAAAGATATATTTTCTGACTCGTTGTTGCGCCATAATCAACTCTAAAATGTAAAACAGAATTGCTGATTATGTAATATGACAGAATTTATATGTGTATACGCTTGCTGCGCACACGAATCTTGTACAACTCTCTATATATTTTCTAGAAATTCGTCCATCAAAAAGATTGGCGAGGAGATAAAATAGTAGTTTCATGTAATATTTTATAATTTAAAATGTAAATGACAGTAGAGACAAATACAAATGGTAGTATAATTATGTTAATGATATTGTATTACAATAATGTCAACTATTAAAAAACTATATTACTAAAAAATACCTTTTGTGAGAAATATCTTTTAAAATATACGTCAATAATGTTTAACTCAAATATTATCTGCCCTACAGAAAAATAGTAAGAAACGAAAATTGTTTATTTTGTTCTCACAGAGCTCTTAGGATCGTATTCATAATCGTGATTCAACCTGAGATTCTATTTGAGCTATATTTAAATCAATCTTTTATTTGAAAAACACTTCCAAATCACGATTTAATAAATCTGATTCAAATTTTTATTCAAATCTAGCTAAGCGTTTTCAGAATTTTGTATCAACTTTTTATTACTACATGTTCTTACTGGCAACTATTTTTACCAACATAAGAAAATGCGGTAATAAATATGCTGTTATATCATATGAATTTATCTCCTTACCATATCTCTTGATGGACGAATTTCTAGAAAAATGGAATGTTATGCAAAATTCGTGTGTGCTCAGCGTATTATATGAAACATTTTTAATAAACGGTAATAGATATTACATTTCAATGCTAAACATCAAAATTTTAGTAATATTTTAACATATGGCATTTTATGAAGAATTTTGTTTGAATACGCACACACACTTACCTGTATCTATGATACTGTGTTATTCAAACGAAATCTTTATAAGGTATCTTCTTATAAATTAAAAAGTATAAGCTTCTAAAAATTTTCTTGGACGGATAAGTTTTAATATTTGTTTATGAATTTAGACTTATGTAAGAGCACATTTAATAAAATATACAGGGTGATCCATAAAAAACGGATTAGACTGAATAGCTCGTACGCTGAAGTGAATAAATTTTATTCTATATTTGGTTATTTTGGGATACCCTGTATAAATATATATATAGACATAGATACTTTACAATATTCATATGAATACGTTTTACCTAACGATTTTAAACCAGTTTAATCTTCGATCTTATAAATCGCGTGCTTTAGTTTTATGCTTGGATAAACAAATAGATTAAAAGTTTTACCTTATCTTTCATGCAAAAATATGACTCCAATATAAGTTGCGGCTAAGAGAATTATCACGTTTCTTCTGGTAAGTT